GGGGGTACACGGGACCCGGTGTATCAAAAGTTGCAGACACCGGCGCAGGTGAAATTGTGCTGGCGTCCACATGAGGTGGAAATGGGGAGGGGAGGACACAAATGTAGGTGACATTTCCGTTGTTGCTGCTGGTAGGTGTGGACCCATGTACCAGATATATCACCTTGTGTGCGTGAGGTGGAAATGGGGAGGGGAGGACACCGTTATACTGCTGTGGGTGACATTTCCGTTGTTGCTGCAGGTAGGTGTGGACCCATGTACCAGACGTATCCACCTTATTGAGGGATTCGCAGTAGCAAGGCGTCTCCACAATCTATGTCAGTGTTTGTCTTGTAGAAGGGGAGAAGCCCCATGATGAGAATCACTGTGTTTGTCTTGTAGGAGGAAAAGAAGCCTCAGCAATGATAAGTTCTCGATGCAGTATATAGTCAAGCGTGTTTTCCGCGAGCGTTGAATGCGCCGGAATCAAGGGGGAGGGAGGAAGTTAGGTGCTCAGATCATCGATAGTTGTTCGTCGAGCGGGGAGGGCAAGTAGGAGTAAATCGCAACAGACTTTTGTTTGGGCTTTGTTGGAGTAAAATCGTGGCAGTGGCTGCAGACTTTTTGGACTTTGTTGGGTACTAGGGGAAATGTGATATTGAAACGTGGCGGGAAGTTTACCCGGATCGATGACGTTGTCGGAGTTATCCTGTTTGCGTCTCTATCTTGCTTTTTAGTAGTACCATCCTTTGGAGGGAGGGGTTTTGACCCGGTGGCCGGGTTTCCCCTTAGGTTTTTATTGATTTGTTGTTTTTGCGGAAAAAACCTGACTTGAGGTGGCGGAAGCACGCATCCCACAGAAGAAGTGGTTAGTTACTTTAGTGTAAAGAACCAGGGAGGGTGTTCGTGTGAGTGCGTATGTAGTCGGATCTGTAGACGAGATGACTGTTTCAGGTGCACTGCACATAGGTATGCGTTGGGTAGTACGACCAGAGAATGATTGTGCGGAGCCCCCACGCCAGCTGCTGTCAGCTGGCGTGCGCGTGGCACTCCCTGCTCTTTCCCCCCAACCGGGTGTGAGAGATAACAAGCATCTAAACATCAAGCACTACAATCTCTACAAAGACAACAAGGGCATACCACTTAGGGTTGACGAATACTTCCCGCATCATGGACAAGGAACTCCGTCGACCTTCAGCAGGTCCGCCCACAAATACTCCGGTATCCATGCGATCACGGTCTTGAGATGGTACGGATCAACCTTCGGTAGTCCTGCACCAATCAAAATGGTGAAAGCCAGACCAAACGGCGTTTGAAACAGCGTAAGAATTAGCACTGAGGAGCAACGCTGCAAGATTAATTTCAATAATTTTTTGCAAGGGTGTGGCAATACACAAATATGTGGAGGACGGCATGTTGTGGGCTCTGCCGGTACGTGGCAGTATGGCAGTACCAAAAACATAATCCATCCCTGCAACTACTCTCTGTACATACCTGTGATTTTCTGCATCGCAGCACACTTGGGAGTGATGAAGAGACTGTCGAACGGGAACACGCCTGGACCTCCCTTTGGTGCTTTCACACCGCCGGCATGGTGGACGATGTTCTTGTCGATCGTCTTCTTCAGTTGGTCGATGAAAGCGAGCTGCGCAGGCGACACCCGGTCGCTGTCGCGCCCACTGTCGCCGCCGCGACTGCGTCTGCTGCTGCTGCTGCAAGCTCTGCTGCTGTTGCTACCCCTCCAGCTCCTTGTTGCGGCGGCGGTGGTGGTGGGGCTGCTGCTCCCCCTTGCGAAGAAGCATGGCGAGCTTTCCCTTTCCCTTTACTCGACCCTCGCGGTTGTTGTTCAGGTGGTTCTGCGGGTCGTGGCGCTCCTTCATGACCCGGTCCGCTGCTGCTGCAGTTGGGCGATCCACCAGCAGCGTTTCTGGTACCTGTGCTGCTCTCCCCGACGCCCTGGCCTTCATTTGAACTCACATTGCTTCCCTCCCCACCCTAAGCACCACCTATCGTGGGCGCTTCGAGGTCGACCCTCCTGACAGCCACGACTGCATGCCTCGCGCCTGCTGTGCGATGTCTCTTGCAGCTGCTGTCTTTTCTGATTGTGTCCTCGCGCCGGGTCTTTTGGACCCGGGTCCGGGCCTCGACCCTTTCGTTGTGGCCCATGGCGGTGGGTGCTGCCCCCACGGGGGTGGGTGGTATGCGCGTGGGTGCGCATGGCGCGTAGGTGAGCTTGCGGTAGCATTGCTGCAGTACATTGCAGTCGGCACAAAAAGCGCGGGTCAACCACCTCGTGCTACCCTAACCCGCCAATCACGAGCTGTCGTTTTTAAGTCGTTTTTAAGAATCAGTCCGGAAGGACCTGCTTTGGACCAATGGAATTGCGTCGTTTTTAAAAAATCAGCCCTACCGGAAGCCAGCACCCATAGGGGGCTTCGTGAATACTTCCACATCAACCCGCCCACCCGGACCTATTTCGTATTGCTTCGAGGGCGTGCTTCGACGGTTTCAGCCGAACATACCCAGCAGTATCACAGCTGACGACTTGCAGACGACAGACAGACACCGACCAGCACGCCGAGCCATCAGGCCATCTCTGTCATGGGGGATCTCTCTCCCCCTTCGCTTTTCTTCTGATGACAGTATATTGCTCGGCAAAGATAATTTCCGTGCTGATTCACTTTCTTCGTTCAGCAAGTACAGATATCAAGGAATAATAAAAACACACACATAAAGACTACCCATTCGTACAGATATGTTGTCGCTCGCTCAGACTCCCGCCAACAACAACACAAGACAGACGGTATCCATTACGCTGCAGTGCGTGTCCGATATTGTAAGTGCTGTTCCCTCCCCGACAGCATATTATTCGGCGACGAATAAAATACGTGCTCATGCGAAGCAAGTGGCAGCATCAGCCATTACACCCACGACGTCATCTCTTCTTCATCAGCGTGAGTTATTATACCTCTCTTCTTGGAGAAGATAGATAGATGAAGAAAGTTTGTGGGTATACTTGTGGGTACACTGCTGCTGCTTCAGGTCATGACACGTACCCTTTCGTACGACGCAGCACGTGTGTTGCTAGCATAATCAGCAGCAAGAGCCAGACCCTTTCCACCGTTACGATAGGTTGCTGCTCGACTCTTCTTCCAAAATCAAAAGCATTTTTTTCTCCTTGTTGGGTGATAACTCCTGCAACAAACGAGCGTCCTGTTCTCTGGGGGGAGGGAGTATGTATATCCTTGGAGTATCATCGGCATATTGATAGTCTACAGATGTACCATGAGAACACGTCTGGCCACCGAGATCGCTACATAGTTAAGTCTATTTGAACTGCATTCAGCTGGGAAAATATTGTGGGCGCTAGATACTACTACATGGTTTTAATCAGATAGATAGATAGATGCGTTTGTTTGTCAAGAAAACTTTTAGGGAAATAGACACAAGTGGGTATACCCACCCCTTTCTCGGACAAAAGTGGGTACTCGAAAATCCAGCGTGCGCGCACTCCATAGGCGACCCCCAAACGACTCAAAACCCCATTCTGACACCTGGGCGACACAGCCAGGGACCATACACAGCATGGGCATCGATTTTTCCCCACTTTTAGGCACACCTTTGGCCCTAACACCGCCGACGCGCGCAAGGCCTCACCAGAGTGCCCACTTATGTCCGACATCGCGGTGGGTATACCCACCGGCGTCAACTAATTTTTTCATGTACCCACTTGTGTCTGTATTTTGACCCACTTTTGTCCAAATTGTACCCACTTTTGTCCACTTACGGACGGCGGAAATCGAGCGGAAATCGACCTCCACGTCACCGCACGGCAGAACATCGAATAGACTCGGAACGTCTCAGAACCTCCCAAAACCATATCCATGGCATCTTTCCTATCCATGGCTGCCGACTGCGGACCGACCACGGAGGAACATGTCAGAAACATGCCAGACCCCTTCGGTACCGGCACGGGAAGATACCAGGCACGGGAAGATACCCGCGGCAAGCCGACTGCTGCCGTGACGAGTCGGTGTGCACTTGTCGTGGTGGTTAGTGTTTTTGTGTGTGTGTTGTTGCTGTTTGCGCGTCTTTTTGTTCTGTACGCGCGACCCGTTGGTTGTGTTGTCCGTT